GACCAAAGAGGACATCTGGAAGTTTCTGGGCCTAATAATACTTCAGGGAGTGGTGGGGAAACCCCTGCAGAAGTGGTATTGGACAACCAACAAATTACTAGCCACTCCTTTTTTTGGCACGGTCATGTCAGAATACAAATTTTCTCTGATAATGAAATATTTGCACTTTGCAAATAATGAAGAATTTGATGAGACTTCTCATCCAGCTCCAAAACTCAAAAAGATTTGGGAGGTTTATCAAATTATTGTGAAAACTTTCCAGCAGACCTATGTACCAGGTAGAGACATTAGTATTGACGAAAGTCTAATGGCCTACAAAGGAAGACTCAGCTGGATACAGTATATGGCGTCAAAGAGAGCACGATTTGGCATAAAATCATTCATGCTATGTGAATCAAGCACTGGTTACATATGGAATTCGGTCCTATACACCGGGAAAGGAACCAAATTCAAAGAACGATTCAGTAATTATGGAATGGCAACTGCTTTGATTCTTACTTTGATTGAGCCATTGCTGAATCAGGGCTATTGTGTAACCACAGATAATTTTTACACTTCCCCAGAACTCTATGAGTTCCTTCTACACAACAAGACGGATGCATATGGGACCGTTAGGGCTAACCGGCGTGACATGCCGCCAACCTTTGGCAATAAAAAGCTCAAGGCAGGAGAAATAGTTGCCTGGCAGAAAGGCAAAATGATGGCACTGAGATGGCGCGACAAAAAAGATGTGTCCCTAATGAGTACTATTCACAACACCTCTACTGTCATGGTACACACAAAAGGTGGAAAAGACATAATGAAACCACAAGTCGTGATGGATTACAACAACACCATGGGAGGTGTGGACAGATCTGACCAGGCCATGACATTTTATCCAGCGATGAGAAAACAACAAAAAAAAATATTACAAAAAAATCTTCAGGCATCTTCTTGAACAGTGTTTATGGAATGCATTCATTCTGCTCAAAAAAAAGAGTGACAAGCCTGTGGTTCATGCAGACTTCGTTTGGAAAGTTGCCGAACTTATATTTCTCAAGCACCAAACACCAACGACTGTAAATAGATCTGGACGTCGTGCTGCTGGCGTTGTGAACCCGGAACGCCTGACTGGTCGTCACTTTATGGATCACATTCCACCAACGGAAAAGAAGTCTGCACCCACAAGGATGTGTGTGGTTTGCTGCTCTAAACGTGACAACACTGGAAGGAAAATCAGAAAAGAAACCCGGTTCTATTGTCCTGATTGTGACGTTGGACTTTGTGCTGTACCATGTTTTAAAATTTTCCATACCCGGGACGTTTACTGAAGCAATATGACTACTAATATTGCATCCTTGTTTGGCCAAAAAAACATGTCAGTGTTTTTGCTTATATTATTTACTAAAATTTATTGAATAAAAAGTATTATTATTATATTATTATTTGTTATTCTTTATAATTATTTATTATATTATAATTTATGATTTTATGTTTCAAACTTTATCATACCCGAGATGTTATAAAGAACTACGGTGTATGATTTGGGAAGGCCCAAAGCATACATAGAAAGTTTTTTTTTATTTTTTTACATTTTTATTTAATCAATGCATTTTTTTTGCCCGAGATGTCTACTAGACTCTGGTTTGGAAAGATTTAAGTGAGTTATTCCTAAGAATTACAGGCCTACAATATAAAACGCCAAATTTCCATGCAAAATAATGGTACCGCTTTCAGCACCAAAAATCGGAAATAATCATACCGCCAGGGAGGTTAAGGTCATGCCACAGCATTTCAATCGGGTTGAGGTCAGGACTCTGACTGGGCCACTCCAGAAGGCGTATTCTGTGCTATTGCAGCCATTGTTTGTTTAATTACTTGTATGCTTTGGGTCATTGTCCTGTTGCATCACCCATCCTCTGCGGAGCTTCAGTTGGCGGACAGATGGTCGTATGTTTTCCTCCAAAATGTCTTGATAAACTCTGGAATTCATTTTCCCATCAATGACAACAATCCGTCCAGGCCCTGAGGCAGCAAAGCAGCCCCAAACCATGATGCTCCCTCCGCCTTGTTTTACAGTGGGGATGAGGTTTTGATGTTGGTGTGCTGTGCCTTTTTTTCTCCACACATAGTGTTGTGTGTTCTTCCCAAACAACTCAATCTTGGTTTCATCTGTCCACAGTATATTTTGCCAGTAGTGCTGTGGAACATCCAGGTGCTCTTTTGCAAACTTCAAACGTGCTGCAATATTCTTTTTGGACAGCAATGGCTTCCTCTGTGGTGTCCTCCAATGTACTCCATTCTTGTTTAATGTTTTCCTTATTGTAGATGTGTCAACAAAAATGTTAGCATGTGCCAGAAATTTCTGTAGGTCTTTAGCTGACACTCTGGGATTCTTCTTTACCTCATGCAGCATTCTGCGCTGTGCTCTTGCAGTCATTTTTACAGGACGACCGCGCCTAGGGAGAGTAGCAACAGTGCTAAACTTTCTCCATTTGTAGACAGTCTGTCTTACCGTGGACACATGAACATCAAGGTTTTTGGAGATACTTTTGTAACCCTTTCCAGCTTCATGCAAGTCAACAATTCTTGATCGTAGGTCTTCTGAGAGCTCTTTTCTGCGAGGCATGGTTCACATCAGACAGTGCTTCTTGAAACCAGTAAACCCAAAACAGGTGTGTGTTATTTTAGGCAGGACAGCTATCAGCAACACATCCAATATCATCACACTGATTGGAGTCAAGGTTGGCTCACTCCTGGCTCCAATTAGCTCTGGGAGAAGTCATTAAGCTAGGGCCTCACATAATGTTTCCTCCCTGCACTGTGAATGTTTACATGTTATGTGCAATTAAACCATGGCAACAGCTAATGTTTGTGTAGTATTATGTTCAGCAGACTGTGTTCTTCTATTGTTGTGACTTAGATGACGTTCAGAGCACATTTTATGCCCAATTCATGCAAAACTCCACATAATCCCAGGGGTTCACATACTTTTTCTTGCAACTGTAATATCCAAGTACCACCCAACACGCACACACCGCTCCTCACAAGACCTCCTTCTCTCTAGTTCCCTGGTCTCCTCCTCCCATGCCCACCTCTAGGATGTCACCCATCCTCTGGAACTCCCTGACCCAACCCATCAGACTATCACCTACTCTCCTCTCCTTTAGGCGTACCCTGAAAACCCACCTCTTCAGGGAAGCCTACCCCACCCCATGCTAATTGACGACCTCCTCCACTCTTCCTACCACTCCATCCCCCACAACTATCTCCTCCTGTACCACTATCCCCTCCCTCCTAGATTGTAAGCTCGAAAGAGCAGGGCCCTCGAACCCCTTGTGTATTGTATTGTTACTGTACTGTTGCATGTTCTGTCCCCCATTGTAATGTACAGCGCTGAGTGAACTGTTGGTGCTTTATAAATACTGTATAATAATAATAATAAATAATAAATTGTACCATGGTATCGTTTTGATGACCAATCACAGGGACACATTGTACTCAGCCCTTCAGATTGGCTGGGTAGAGTGTCTTTGTGTACCCAACCCTCTAATGACAACTGGGTACAGAGCGATCACTCATCGGACAGCATAACAGCTATTTACCTAATGGTGCTCATAAACAGCATGGGGTAAATAAAGGGCTACTGATCTGCCATTGAAAAATGTACTGTAGTATGTAAAGGGTTAAAGGAAATGTGTTCAAAGAGAAATACAGGTACTACCATTATTGAAATTGTTGTAATAATTGAGTTGTCTGGCTGTCTCTGGCTTCAACACTTTCACACGCTCACCAGAAAAAGTTGTGCAGATTAGTAAATCAAAGGAAAGTGTGAATTCATAATTTGCATATTTGTTCTGTATCAGTGACATTAGTTTTCTTTTAATAAGCCCGTGGGCTAAAGAAGAGAAAACTGCCCAATCCCGCCATTCACGCTGAACAGCACGGATGGAGGAATCAGCATTGCCATTGTATTTTGACAGCTGGCACCAATAACTTTCAGAGTACCAAAACAGTGACTACAACTGTTCAGCCAACTTTGTTCTGCTTGGCTTCTTCGATTTGATGGTGACTTTGGCAGAGCCACCCATGTTTTGAATTTCAAGCTAATTCACAGGAATTGTACACATTTTTCACGGTGTATGGCCAGCTTAAGAAAGCTCCTATTGGTTGAGAGGAGTGGCGCTATTGTTCGTTATTCAGAACTGCTCATATAAGGCATGAGGGTCAGCAGTGGCCGCATGCAGGCCTTACTGTTAGAACAATAGGAAAACCCAAAAATAAAAAGCTTTCATTTCACAGAAAGGATTCTTTGACATTTCATTTGGATTGTATTATACAGTTAATTTGGATGTAAACAGTGCTTACTGTACTTATTTTTTAAATGCACCATAAATTGGCCCTACTTTATAGGAAATCAACCACATTTACAATTGGGTGCACAAATACGAATATTTTAATGTAGGCTGAAATCTTTTTGTACAACACCAACAGGCATATATACATGTCATACATATCAGGACACATTTTTAAACAAGACAAAGTCTTTATTCTTTTATATACAAAGTACCTAAGCAAGGTCCAGACAGTGCAGTGCATCACAGATGAGGACAACTGAAGTACTGTGTCCGTATTATTGCTGTATACAGGAAACCACAAATCTCCTTGTCCTTATACAATACTTGTGGCTGTTTCTAAAAGCATATATACATAGTATCTATAAAGTGGGGAAAGTGAAATAAAATAATATGAAATATGAAACAATAAAGCTTCCACAGAAAGCATGAAATCATATACTTATATGTATGTATATATCTATTATTCTGTTAAATAATATATACTTATATATATAATATATATATAGATTATATATTTACATGGGCTTTTTACAATTAATTAAAAAAAAACAAAGGCTATTGTTAATAATGTATCTCCGAGGAATGCCCAGGTGGTTTTAGCATGCACAGCACTGCCTTCCTTCAGAGTCACTACAGTAATATATAGTCACTGGGAGCTAATCTTCAGATTTTTGTCTCTGGTCCTTCTGTAGTAAGGGACTGAAAGGAGTTGCGAATCCGCAATGCTTCTGCTGCACAGATGTGTCCGAAGCATTTGTTATACCAATCCAGACAATGGCCCCTAAAATGAAAAAGGAGAATATTTAATCAGACTCTGCAAATAGAGCAAGATAAATAATTCAGTATCAAACTGATTTAGTGTTTAAATGGAAGCTGTCAGGAGCGCAATGTGGGAGCTGACTTTGTTTTGATGGTGCAAGCGCAGGGCTGTCACTTTGCTTCTAGCATTTTCCTGTATACGGTAAGCCACTGACCTACCACATGAAGGAAGCATGCCACTCACGGGAGTTAATTTACTAAAGGAGGAGAACATGTTCTCTTTGCAAAGTGAATTTTACTTTGCAAGGGAAATACTCGCTAGCTTGGCGTATGTGGTGAAAATTTACCTCGCAGACGTTCCAATCATGTACTAAAGAGAAAAAAAGAATGTTTGCTTACACATGATTGGATTTTTGCTTGAGCATGATTGGATAATGGAAGTCAGCAGAGCTTCACCTCATTCATTAAACTAAGAAGTAAAATCCCATGCAAAATGAAAATTCACAGCCTATTTGCTTTTAGGAAATCTACCCACTGGGTATTAAAGAATACATGGTGCCAACTCCCATATTTCTGTCCTGACAGGTTCCTTTAAGGCTCTAATGCCATGAACCAATGAACCATCATGCCTGGGAGATTGTGCATAGATGGTACAGAAGTCAACTTTGAAATTGCTACAACGTAAATAAAAGGTTAAAAAGGCAGGTAGTGCAGGTATTGACCATCAATAACCACATAATTACAGAACACGGTTTGGCAGTATGGTGGAACTGCATGACACATATGTACAGAGCTTAATGGTGACATATCTAGTGTCTAAAAAAAAAAAAAAAGATTTGGGGTACTACATACAGCAGTTGTAGTAAATTACCTACAAAGTGTTTTGTATTCTGATTGTTTATTATGATTGCTATTACTTGTGATTTATTGAGTTGGTGTTTGCAGAATATGCAATTAGGACCTAGTGGGCTATATAAGAAAATTTTGGGTTATAAAGAAAAAAACATACTCACCTCCATGCTGCAGCATTGGCCTGATGTTACAGCTGTCCCCCACCACCTCTAAGCCCGAGAACTGAGTGATCACATGACCGCTGATCACTCAGTTCTCAGTTAGATCACTGGAGCTTTGGGCTGGTGAGGGGGTGGGTGCAGCTGGTTTTGGCTCTCAGCTGAGTGTGTCAATCAGGCAGCTGGGTGGATTCCAACAATATGGATATGAATCCTTCCATAGCCTGCAGCGACATCAGTTGACAGTGGATTTTAGCCTGCTATTAGCTGACTCTGGGTCACAGGACAGCAAAAGTAAGTGCACTTCTGTGACCCAGAAGGGATATATGGACAAACAAAGCTTCATCGTACTTCTCTTTTATATATAGATTAAAATCTCCTTTGCAATTGAATGGTAGTGCCCTTTACAGACACTGGATACCCACCAATAAGATTTTTTTTTCAAAATCTTGCATAGCAGCCAAAGCACTAAAACCATATTGGTAGGGTATAAATTAGAACCTATTATTCAAATGTGGCCTTTTGTTTACAAAATTAAACGTAGACAATGTGATTTGCTTACAACAACCAGTCTCTTTCAGGTGGAATTAACTATGTCATGCAAAACATTCATTTTTCTTTCAATCATTTTTTTACACAAGAGACCCACTAGTTCTTGTAACAAAAAGTGTCAGACAAAAAAAAGAAACTTACTTCAAGTCAAGTCTGCAGATATGGGTGAGTCTGGACTTTCCGGATCCACAGGGCTCAATCAGATACCGTGTTTCCATTACAGCTGCTCTCACTCCTCCGATGAGAGGGGCGTCCTCATGCTCTACAGACATCGCCACCAAACTGCACATACCCTTTGCCAAATCCGCCCTCCACGTCCTAAAGATAGAAGGCATGTTATGTCAGACTACATCAAAAGAACCTCATTAAAATACCATGGAAGTGCCATAACCCACAAAAAACTATTACAAGCTCAGCTTTCATCAGTTTAGTACAATTACATAAAGATGAATTCTGAACCTCTGATTTCTGTTTATATACAGTGGTACAGTAGGATAAAAATGCTTTATCTACAGTCCACTGTACAATGGTATTTAACACATGGAGACATTGAAAAGTGTTAGATTTATAGTTTATTTCCTGCCTGATGCATGTCTATATGCTTTCTGCCAGGCTTGCATAATAATCAGGTTAAAGGCCACCCTACAGGAAATAATAAAAACTGGGCTGAGAACTTCTGCTGAACAGCCCACGACACGGTATGTTCAATGCCCACAGACATGCACACTAGTGTACATAGTACATACAATCATGCAAGTTTATGTGTGTCATCAGAGCAAAAGAAATGTTTTGACCATTGGATACACTGCTAGCGTCCATGTGCCATCTAACCCATATCTATGGCATACTTTGATCTCAAGCTTATCTGCTAAGCTCCGTAACTTGTTTTTAGGTTAATAAAGAGATTCTCTGGTTATTATTTTCATGTATGTACTTAACAGAAATAGCACTCTCCGATGACTCAAAATCTCCTTACCTAGGTACTCAGGGACACTCCATATGGTCATATGATGGAAAGTCAAAGAATTCCTTATATTTCCAGCATCTATGCCAATGGAGCTGCATGTGTATAAGTGTGAAATTCAGTTGGTAGTTGTGGTATGCCTAATTGCTCCTTACTACCAACTGCGGCTGAAATTCCAGCGAACCATATAGACGTGGAGCTTGAAGGCATGTACAGTTGCCTACATAAGTCAATGGCTTTAGGCAGCTATACATGTGTATACACAAGCACTTGCAGAAACACACTTATGTGTACGAGTGTACAACTATGGCTGCATATGGATGTTTATGTTGGTCCTTGCGTATACGCACATATAGTTGTATACAGTCATTGACTCGTATATAGATGGCTGTATGCAGCACCTGTGGGCTCCCTTGTGGGGGAAAAACACCAGAATTTTCACTATATGGCCAGATACAGCTTTGAAAACCAGCCCTAAAAATACCTAAATAGTAATAATTATGATAACAATAACAAAAATTATATTAATAGCAACCAGAGAGCTTATTTAAAGATAAATTAAAGAATGGCTCTATGTACTTAGGTCTTATATAATGTATCAGTTCTGTATAACTAGTAAAATAAATACATAAGATGTATAAATGCTACATTTTAGGCATCCTAGTAAGGTTTTTCTAGAAGTATGTCATTAAATAACACAATTAGCTTTGTGTATCTACTCTCTTTAAACACAGTTTAGCTCAGCATACCTTAAAACCACAAAGTCCTTAGAAGGATGGGGAGCCATGCTGTTGATAACAAACTGGTAAATTTCTGTATGGTTATCGACAGTTTTGATTATTTTTCCCTGCAGAAAATCGTCATCCCATAGGTGGCGCTCTCTCAATAATCGGTTTAGCACAACCGGTGGAGGGGCCTCCAACTCCACTGACACCTTCCAGAGCCGCAGAGGATTTCCATCTCCAACCTGAAGAATCAGAATAGGGATCAGTACACAAATAAAAGGGCAGTGATAAGTAAAAAAAAAAAAAAAAGGTTGGCTTCTGAACGTTTAACTTTTCATTCATGCATTCAATATCTGTGAGTCATACAGACATCAATAGAGAATGTGTATTCATACAGTCTGTACCTTTTTATAAGCCACGTCAGTGTTCTCTGTGCTGGAAAGTGAGACCCATCCTTTAAACTTATCCCTGGCCTCTTTCTGAAGGCTCTGAATGACATTATCAAAGTAGGCAGAGATGCTCCCTGACTCCACTTCCAATTGCTTCCCCAATTCCTCCATAGTGGGTAGGTGGATATCAGCATCCACATAGGAATTCCGTGACTGTGCTATAATCTCATGTGGAACCTGCAACATCCCAGAAAGGACCAGTCAGAATTCAAATTTAATAGAATAAGATTTAAATAAGCAGAAGCTCAATAATTATATAAACTATTATGTTTAGGTTGACTGTGTCAACATAATACTCAGAATATCTTATAATAATATAATGCTCACAATATAATAAGATAAATTCAGAATAATGCTAAATTCAGAGAGGGTGCTGTTATTTTGAGTGCCAAGGCACACAGCAGCTGACAGCATGATATTTTATGAAAGTTTATTCTATAGAGTCAGATTTACGTAGAAGGCAAAAGACCATTGGTTTTCTATTGCTAGTTATTTGGCAATGGCATTAAGGATGTGAAAAGTTCAACACTGTTTCAGGGTCATATACAACACTGTGATCATGCTTCACATTGCAAACATTTATCTTTCAACTATTTAAGCATTCCAAGGGGAACTGTTGCCAGAACCGCCCACATAACTGCAATTGGGTCCAACCACGAGAATGTGGCCTCAGTACAAGATCTCCGCAATCCACTGTCATCAAATGTACCTGAAATCCGCACAGCAATCAATCTCTTCTGTATTTCACTATCTCTAGAGACCCTAACATTAGCCTCAAATAGAAAACACTCACCTCAAACAGTCTATTACATTCCATGATCATGTGTGCCAGGCCCTGTGTAGCTGCCAAGTTCTCATTCAGATCCTTCTGGTCTGGTTTTCCGGTTGCATATTTTTTCTGTATGGCTCTGAAAGCAGAAAAGTGAAATAACCTAAAGGTTAGACAAGCTTCTGTATCACTGTATTCTAAAGTTAGAACTATCTGTAATTTCAGTGCTGGAACCTTCGCTCCTCACAGGACCTCCTACTCTCCAGCTTCCTGGTCTCCTCCTCCCACGCCCGACTGCAGGACTTCTCCCATCCTCTGGAACTCCCTACCCCAATCCATCAGACTGTCACCTACCCTCCTCACTTTCAGGCGCACCCTGAAAACCCATCTCTTCAGAGAAGCCTACCCCACCCTCACCTAACAACGGCTCTCCTCCTACTCCTCCTACCACTCCATCCCCCACAGCCACTTCCTCCTGTACCACTATCCCCTCCCTCCTAGATTGTAAGCTCGAAAGAGCAGGGCCCTCAAACCCCTCGTGTATTGTTTTGTTACTGTATTGTCTCATGTTCTGTCCCCCACTATAATGTACAGCGCTGAGCAAACCCTTTAGCGCTATATAAATACTGTGTAATAATAATAATTAGGGTTGTAGGATTTCTAAAGTTAGAAGTATATGTAATTTCAGTGCTGGAACTAAAACAATTGGTGTTGTAGGATTTCTAAAGTTTGAAGTATATGTAATTTCAAAGCTGGAGCTAATACAATTAGGGTTCTAGGACATTGTCCGAGTGCTGCAACTCCTTCATTGGCAAGGCTGGGCTGTGCTCTGGACCAACCTGCTTTGCTTAACTGTTGTGTTGTCTGCATGGGGGCTAAGAACCTGGCTATAATGTGTGGGAGGTGTATTTGGATGACAAGACTGGCTAAATAAAATTACAATTCTTTGGCAGGTAAATCAGTGTGCCTATATGCATTTCAATTATCTATTCAATGCTTTTATTTCAGCTTTAAAAAAAATATATATATTATATACTACATATATGACATAAATGAGAGTATATTACATAAAAAGAAATTGACTAATTCCTCAGATTTTTTAAAAATATATATATTCTGCAAGAAAATGTAAACTCTATAACAAGTATAATAATTATATAGTTAGCTAAAGTAGAAAATATGTCAATAAGTAAGGCAACAAAAGTAACAACCTCGGCGAATTGTCTTTCTTCAGTAAACTGAGGTGGAATAGAGATGGTGCCAAACAGACAGCAAGATTCATGGGGGTCATCTGATTCTCTTCTACTAAGGTTACATCATTAAGAAAACACAGCAGGGTCTGGAGGACTTCTCGATTCTCATCTGACATCAACATAATGGCCGACTGCACTGCTTGAAGCCTCTGGTCCTTGGGGACATCTATGGGGATTCAAGAGACATTTTAATTATGAGTAATTGCTTTCAGAACCAATACTATAGTACAGACTCAGTGGTAGTGCAATACAGGAAAAGACACCAGCCCCAACTGACACAATTAGAGGCTTGCCTAAAGTGATAATAAATGCCTAGTCTTTCAGCAGCTTTCACGTATTGAGTGTGAAGCTTTTTCATCTTTTAATCCTTGCCTATGTTCCAGAATAAGCTGGTGCCATGATCATTTCCCTGGGTGTCCTGTTTCAAGGTGGATCCTTTCTCTTGCTACAGCCTATGGAGCCACGCTTGCATTCAGGCACTAGATTTGTATCTCCCTACACTCTGTGCATCAACAGAAACACACAGCCTCATAGTTTAGAAAGCCAAGACACTACCCTGCTCCCTCCCCCCCAGTCCCTTGACTGACTGACCGGTCCACTGTTAATTCTTTCCTGAAGACAGGAAGTTCCAGGAAGAAGCACTGAGAGAATAGGAGCTTGCAACACTGAAAGTTATAAACTGCATGTGCTGGGGTTAGAATTCTAACAAACAGTTTGCAGGGGAATGTTTATCTTATCGTGCTTAATATGTTAGGCTAAAAATGCTGAAAATTTTAAAGCTCTCCCTTCTTATTTTAAACTGCATGGCACAAAATCAAGCCACAAATGCACATAGTGCTTTTAAGGACAAGCTTAATGTCACTGACAATTGCATTTTCATTACATACATTAAAAGCCCTGTTATCATGAACCTGTAACTCTTTAGATTAGTTTGCCTCTGGCAGCCATTACATTGAAGGTGTATAACTTACCTTATAATGTCCATATTGTCATGGAAAAAGGTTGTGCTAAAATTCTGCACCAGAAGCCATATAAGCCAAGGATGGCCTTGTGCAAAACAGTATGGACCTGTACCAGCAGGAGGAGTTGCAGATGGTAATAATCACATTTACAGACACTTTTGAGTGCATTTTTAACTACTGTTATAATTTATGTACGTACGTAAAAAGGTAGTCAGCTTTATCTGACTAACAAACTGTTCACGTAATTCTTGCAAATGTGACTTTTCTGTAGTCAGAAGTTCATCTGGAGCCATATGAAAAAGATACCAGAAGTATGAAGTCCAGCCAACGTGCCATTTTAAACTTGTTTTGTTATGTAACAGGTTAATTAATGGTGATCTGTACATGTTGTGATGTAGATGTAAGGAGAAACCTCAATGAAGATATATACTTAATGCTAGGCATGTAGTATGGAACTGGAGAATAATGTCATAAACTGTGATTCTGTTTTTCTTTTTGCAGCCTTGAGTCTGCAATATATATGTTGGGAACAGGGGCGGACTGACAACTCATGGGGCCCCCGGGCAATAGGGGATCATGGGGCCCCTGTGTCCTTGCCCAAACTCAAAAAAAGCCTATGAAAAGGGTACCAGGGGAATCTCATGGGGCCCCCTACTGAGCCCGGGCCCTCTGGCAGTGCCCGAGTTTCCAAATGGTCAGTCCGCCCCTGGTTGGGAATGTTTTCATTTAAAAGGACGCATGAGGGTTTTAAAACAAAACAATGGAAATGTGTTAAGGCAGGGGTGCAAGGGTTCAGAAGCCACCTGTGCCCCAAAAGGTACCCTGGGCCATAGTTTGAGCCCAGTAACTACCCTTCTGCTTCTGGTACTCACTCATTTTTGCATGCCCCTCTTTAAACGTAAGCGTCTCTTTCAGTTGCTGACGGGAATCCAGGATAGGATCCATCAGAAATTAAAAGGGGTTGATGTCCCTGGGAGGCAATGGAAGGCATGGTTTAGTCACTGAAATGTCCCAGGCTACAGGAACATTCGATGAGGACAGAACATAAAAGTCCTGAATTTTAGAAGACTGTACACTCACCAGACACTTTATTAGGTGCACCTGTTCCATTGCTTGGTAAAACAACTTGCTAATCAGCCAATCACATGGCAGCAACTCAATGTATTTAGGCATCCAGACGTAGTAAAGATGATTTGTTGAAGTTTAAACCAAGCATTAGAATGGGGAAGATATAGGGGCCTTTCAGACTCACAAAAAAGGAAACGTGAAAAGAGATTCACAAAAAAGTGGTTACATTATGGACAGAATGCGATACTAGAAGTAGTTCCAAAAATTCTGCTTTATTACACAATACACATGTGGACAATTAAGGTAAATACCTCAGTTCGCCATCACCTCAGTATGAGATAATACAAAAACAGACCTAAAAATCACATAAAAGCAACATCAAGACCGGTCTTTGTAATAATGTGCTGCAGACATAGTGACAATTACCTGTCTAATATATTTGCAGCACCGACACATTGGTTACACCACCATGCAGGAAGTGTATCAAAAAATTGTACCATATCGGCATAATATGCATAGCAATAATGGCTATAATGGCACCAAGTGACAATAATGTTGTTACCCATAAACCTAACCAGGCAATGTGGGTGAAAAATTGTAAAAACATATAGGGATGCGGTAGCTACCATTATTAACATTGTCACTTGGTGCTCGTTATCAGCCATTATTGCTATGCATATTATGCCGATATGGTACAATTTTTTGATACACTTCCTGCATGGTGGTGTAACCAATGTGTCGGTGCTGCAAATATATTAGACAGGTAGTTATCACTATGTCTGCAGCACATTATTACAAAGACCGGTCTTGATGTTGCTTTTATGTGATTTTAGGTCTGTTTTTGTATTCTCATACTGAGGTGATGGTGAACGGAGGTATTTACCTTAATTGTCCACATGTGTATTGTGTAATAGAGCATAATTTTTGGAACTACTTCTAGTATCGCATTCTGTTCATAATGTAACCACTTTTTTGTGAATCTCTTTTCACGTTTCCTTTTTTGTATGCCTGTTTTTTGGTTTCTGGGCAGAGAATATACAGTCAGGTCCATAAATATTGGGACATCGACACAATTCTAACATTTTTGGCTCTATACACCACCACAATGGATTTGAAATGAAAAGAACAAGATGTGCTTTAACTGCAGACTGTCAGCTTTAATTTGAGGGTATTTACATCCAAATCAGGTGAACAGTGTAGGAATGACAACAGTTTGCATATGTGCCTCCCACTTGTTAAGGGACCAAAAGTAATGGGACAGAATAATAATCATAAATCAAACTTTCACTGTTCAATACTTCGTTGCAAATCCTTTGCAGTCAATTACAGCCTGAAGTCTGGAACACATAGACATCACCAGACGCTGGGTTTCATCCCTGGTGATGCTCTGCCAGGCCTCTACTGCAACTGTCTTCAGTTCCTGCTTGTTCTTGGGGCATTTTCCCTTCAGTTTTGTCTTCAGCAAGTGAAATGCATGCTCAATCAGATTCAGGTCAGGTGATTAACTTGGCCATTGCATAACACTCCACTTCTTTCCCTTAAAAAACTCTTCGGTTGCTTTTGCAGTATGCTTTGGGTCATTGTCCATCTGCACTGTGAAGCGGCGTCCAATGAGTTGTGAAGCATTTGGCTGAATATGAGCAGATAATATTGCCCGAAACACTTCAGAATTCATCCTGCTGCTTTTGTCAGCAGTCACATCATCAATAAATACAAGAGAAGCAGTTCCATTGGCAGCCATACATGCCCACGCCATGACACTACTACCACCATGCTTCACTGATGAGGTGGTATGCTTAGGATCATGAGCAGTTCCTTTCCTTCTCCATACTCTTCTCTTCCCATCACTCTGGTACAAGTTGATCTTGGTCTCATCTGTCCATAGGATGTTGTTGCAGAACTGTGAAGGCTTTTTTCGATGTCGTTTGGCAAACTCTAATCTGGCCTTCCTGTTTTTGAGGCTCACCAATGGTTTACATCTTGTGGTGAACCCTCTGTATTCACTCTGGTGAAGTCTCCTCTTGATTGTTGACTTTGACACACATACACCTACCTCCTGGAAAGTGTTCTTGATCTGGCCAACTGTTGTGAAGGGTGTTTTCTTCACCAGGGAAAGAATTCTTCGGTCATCCACCACAGTTGTTTTCCGTGGTCTTCCGGGTCTTTTGGTGTTGCTGAGCTCACCGGTGCGTTCCTTCTTTTTAGGAATGTTCCAAACAGTTGTTTTGGCCACGCCTAATGTTTTTGCTATCTCTCTGATGGGTTTGTTTTGTTTTTTCAGCCTAATGATGGCTTGCTTCACTGATAGTGACAGCTCTTTGGATCTCATCTTGAGAGTTGACAGCAACAGATTCCAAATGCAAATAGCACACTTGAAATGAACTCTGGACCTTTTATCTGCTCATTGTAATTGGGATAATGAGGGAATAACACACACCTGGCCATGGAACAGCTGAGAAGCCAATTGTCCCATTACTCTTGGTCCCTTAACAAGTGGGAGGCACATATGCAAACTGTTGTAATTCCTACACCGTTCAACTGATTTGGATGTAAATACCCTCAAATTAAAGCTGACAGCCTGCAGTTAAAGCACATCTTTTTCGTTTCATTTCAAATCCATTGTGGTGATGTATAGAGCCAAAAATTTTAGAATTGTGTCGATGTCCCAATATTTATGGACCTGACTGTACGTCTAGCGATATATGATATTTATGAGCCTCTGATCCTTTTCTTATTTACCAGCCTTTCAGACTCAGTCTCCCCACTCTCTATGGTGACTCTGATTACTTGGGACAGTCTGAACAGAAAACTTTCCCTACCTAGTTTACCCTCACCACTCTCACCACTGGGAGGATACCCATGGTTCACCCTGGGGGAGGACATGCCCTCCTTTAAATCCTGGGGAGGGTCCCGCGAGGTCCGTTGTTTACAATTTATGAACGGCAAAGAACTAAAATCTCTACTGGAGCTCTGTTTATGAGTGGGGCACAGCACCTCAGGATAGTTGAAAACACAGTTTAAACATTTCTTTAAAACCCTTGGGGGCAACCTTCATCCTCAAGATTCACTTTTCAAGTTTGAGGCTCTATGAATGGGCAGAGATTACTCTGATTATTTACTTTCCAGATTATATAAACTCTTACTTGAAAAGCTCTCCACCATAACATCTTACTACACTGCTCAAAAAATTAAAGGAACACTTTTTAATCAGAGTATAGCATCAAGTCAATTAAACTTCTGGGATGTTGATCTGGTCAGTTAAGTAGCAGAAGGGGTTGTTAATCAGTTTCAGCTGCTTTTGGTGATGAAATTAACAACAGGTGCACTAGATGGGCAACAATGAGATGACCCCCAAAACAGGAATGGTTTTACAGGTGAAGGCCACTGACATTTTTTCCCCTACTCATCTTTTCTGACTGTTTTTTTTACTAGTTTTGCATTTGGCTAGGGTCAGTGTCACTACTGGTAGCATGATGCGATACCTGGACCCTACAGAGGTTGCACAGGCAGTCCAACTCCTCCAGGATGGCACATCAATATGTACCATTGCCAGAAGGTGTGTTGTGGCTCCCAGCATAGTCTCAAGAGCGTGGAGGAGATTCCAGGAGACAGGCAGTTACTCTAGGAGAATTGGACAGGGCCGTAGAAGGTCTTTAACCCATCAGCAGGACAGGTGTCTGCTCCATTGTGCAAGGAGGAACAGGATGAGCACTGCCCGAGCCCTAAAAAATTACCTCCAACAGGCCACTGGTGTGAATGTCTCTGACCAAACAATCAGAAACAGACTTCATGGGGGTGGCCTGAGGGCCCAACATCCTCTTGTGGGCCCTGTGCTCACTGCCTGGCATCATATAGCTTAATTGGCATTTCCCATTGAACACCAGAATTAGCAGGTCTGCCACTGGTGCCCTGTGCTTTTCACAGATGAGAGCAGGTTCCCCCTGAACACATGTGATAGACATGAAAGGGTCTGGAGAAACCTCAGAGAATGCTATGCTGCCTGTAACATCATTCAGCATGACCGTTTTGATGGTGGATCAGCGAGAGGCATATCTATGGAGGGACACACAGACCTCTACAGGCTACACAATGACACCCTGACTGCCATTAGGGATCGGGATGAAATCCTTGGACACATTGTCAGACCCTACTCTGGTGCAGTGGGTCCTGGATTCCTCCTGGTGCACGACAATGTCCAGCTTCATGTAGCAAGAGCATGCAGGTAGTTCCTGTAGGATAAAGGAATTGATACCATTGAATGGCCCCCACGCTCGCTTGACCTAAATCCAATAGAACACCTCTGGGATATCATGTTTCGGTTCATCCAATGCCACCAGGTTGCGTCTCAGACTGTCCAGGAGCTCAGTGATACCCTGGTCCAGATCTGGGAGGAAATACCCCAGGACACCATCCGTTCTCTCATTAGGAGCATGCCGGATGTTGTAATTGTATTGTAAATGACAGTTTACTGGGAATGCAAACATTTTCCTATCTTTTTCTTTGAAAATTAAAAAAAAAAAAAAAGATTAAAAAAAAATGAATGGGGAAGAAAGAGAATTTAAGTGACTTTGAATGTGGCATGGTTGTTGGTGCCAGAGAGGCTGGTCTGAGTATTTCAAAAACTGCTGATCTACTGGGATTTACAACCATCTCTAGGGTTTACAGAGAATGATCTGAAGAGAAAATATCCAGTGAGTGGCAGTTTCCTGACGAAAATGCCTTGTTGATGTCATTGGAGAATGGGCAGACTGGTTTGAGATGATTGAAAGGCGACAGCAGCTCATGTCAATATGGATCAAAATCTCTGAGGAATGCTTCCAATCTATGCCACGAAGAATCAAGGCAGTTCTGAAGGCAAAAGGGGATCCAATTTGGTACTAGCAAGGTGTACCTAATAAAGTGGCCAGTGAGTGTATATTGCATGAAATGTTTTTAGCAAATGGATCTAATGAACCACATGCATGCACAGAACTTAGATTCAGTGCAATTAACCTTTCTCTTTTTTCACAGTCATCAAGGTATATAGACTGAGTTTACACAAATTATAAGAAAACAAAAAACAATGAAAAAAAGAGAGAATGTTAGTCACTAGTCTATCTACTAAATCACTTTCACTGTCAATGGCTCAGAAACTCCTGAGTCAACAGAATGCTATGTATGTGTGTGAATAAGACAAGATAAGAATGAAGGTTAGCTTTCTAGACAACTTTTGTTTTCAAAACCAGATAAGGGAATTATAAATGTAAGGAATAATTATCCTTGAGCCACAGGATGGTTCTTCAACCTCGAGGGAATCTGCATACAATGCCAATCACTACCATTAAAAAGAAAAAGAGAATGGGTTTTAGCCAATAGGCATTTGTTCCCAATAAATGAATATATGATTATTTAGTCTTGCAAAGCCATAACATTTGCCTGCAGACATCTCTTAGACTGTTGGGACAATAGAAGATTGAAACAATAAGCCATTCACTTTGATAATTACTCTTTTTGATGTTTTTCATTTGCCAATGAAAATGTAAGTAGCAAAGAATATCTAAAATGCTGTACATTCCAATGAACTACAGATTATTCTTCTCTTGCTTGCTATAGTGAAGTGGAGACAGTTATTCTGCCTACAAGACCCAGACCAGCCATTCTCAACCAAGGTTCCGTAGAACCCTAGGGTACCTCCAACGGTTTCTAGGGGTTTCATTGTGCACTGAGCAAAGTCTGCTTCTCAGATAAGTAGCCACTTACACAAATGATCTTTTTGCATATCTGTAAGGAAGGATTCTTCCCCATGACATAGACCTTTAGATTGGCGAAGTTTTCAGGTCTGTGGCCCCAGCTGACTCTAAGCACTTATTTTCATGTAAGTTTTAGCTGAATACAAATCTATTAGTTGAGACTGAGCACTCACATTGGTAGATGTGAAGAAAAGTCTCTCCCAGTTTACTTGTGAGAAGGGGCTCTGGAAGGTCGCGGAAGAACTGTTTCATCATATCTGCCACATCGTACGCACATTGGTCCTCATAGTTTACATTCTCTGGACAGTTCTCATTCATCTGGCGCAAGGCCTGAATTCGAGACTTAACACCGGATTTTCTAAACAAGCCAACCTGTGGAAAAAGTAAACAATATTCATTACCATGTTGTCTAAGCACAATGCTGGCAGCATTTATCTTCAGCAGTAAAGAAAAAAGACCATTGAACATTAAAAAGCTGGTGGGGATCGAAGAGGCTGTGCTTATACAGCATTTCTAAGTGCTTTTTAAACTGTTTGTTAGAATTATGATTATTATACAGTATTTATAAAGCGCCAACAGTTCGCTCAGCGCTGTACAATATAATGGGGGACAGTACATGCGACAGTACAATAACAATACAATGCGATACACGAGGGGTTCGATGGCTCTGCTCCTTGGAGCTTACAATCTAGGAGGGAGGGGATAGTGGTACAGGAGGAAAATCTGTGGGGGATGGAGTGGTAGGAAGAGTGGAGGAGGTCAGCACTTAGCAGGGGGTGGGGTAGGCTTCCCTGAAGAGGTGGGTTTTCAGGGTGCGCCTAAAGGAGAGGAGAGTAGGTGATAGTTTGATGGAGTGGGGTAGGGAGTTCCAGAGGATGGGTGACGCCCTGGAGAAGTCCTGGAGGCAGGCATGGGAGGAAGAGACCAGGAAACTAGAGAGAGAAGGAGGTCTTGTGAGGAATGGAGAGTGCGTTTTGGGTGGTATTTGGATATTAGGTCGGTTATGTCGTTTGGGGCAGTATGATGGACAGCTTTGTAAGTCAGTGTTAGGATTTTGAATTTGATACGTTGGGCAATCGGAAGCCAGTGGAGGGATTGGCAGAGGGGGGTGGCAGAAACGGAGCAGTTGGTAAGGTGGATGAGTCTGGCCGCAGAATTCAGGATTGACTGAAGTGGGGATAGCCTGTGGCGAGGCAGGCCAGTGAGGAGGGAGTTGCAGTAATCGAGTCGTGATATGATGAGGGGGTGGATGAGCTGCTTAGTGGTTTCTGGGGTTAGGAACGTAGGTATTTTGGCGATGTTGCAGAGGGTGGAGTCTGCATGATTGGACTTGGGGCTGGAAGGATAGATTGGAGTCAAGAATGACACCAAGTACTCTGGCCTGTGGGGCGGGCCTGATGGTGGCATGGTTGGACGTAATGGAGAAGTCAGTGGGGGGTGGTGGTGTGCAGGCTGGGTGGAAGATTAGCAGCTCGGTTTTGGAGATGTTCAGTTTAAGGAAGTGGAGTGACATCCAATCTGATATGTCATTCAGTAGGCTTGTGATTCGGGCGGAGACAGGGGGGGTGAGGCGAGGGGTTGAGAGATAGATTTGCATGTCGTCGGCATAGAGGTGGTAGTTGAAGCCATGAGAGTGTATGAGTTGGCCAAGGGAGGAGGTGTAGATGGAGAAGAGAAGGGGTCCGTGGACAGAGCCTTGAGGGATCCCAACAGAGAGGGGGAGTGAGGGGGAGGTGGCAGCGTTATAGGTAACGCTGAAGGAGCGTTGTGATAGGTAGGACGAGAGCGGAATCTCTGAGGCCAAGGGAGAGTAGTTTTTTGAGGAGGAGGGGGTGGTCGACTGTGTCGAAAGCTGCGGAGAGGTCGAGGAGAAGGAGCACTGAATAGTGGCTGTTAGCTTTGGCGGTTAGCAGGTCGTTGGAGAGTTTGAGTAAGGCAGTTTCGGTGGAGTGTAGAGGACGGAAGCCGGACTGTAGGGGATTGAGGAGGTTGTTGTCGTTGAGGTGGGAGCTTAGGTGATTGTAGACTAAGCACTCGAGGAGTTTGGATGTAAATGGTAACAGGGAGATGGGTCTGGTTGGTTCGGGTCAGAGGGGTCTAGGGAGGGCTTTTTAAGTATGGGAGTGATGTGTGCGTGCTTCATACGGGAGGGGAAAGTGCCGGAAGAGAGGGAGAGATTAAAGATGTGGGTGAGGGAGCGTAGGATGGAGGAGGAGGGAGGTCATAGGAGTTGTGAGGGGACAGGGTCGAGGGGGCAGGTGGTGAGGCGGGCTTCAGAGAAGACCTTGGTGACCTCCTCAATGTTAGTAAGGTCGAAGGAGTGGAGTGTGGAAGGGGTTTCAGTGTGAGGGATGTTAGGTGGGGTGGAGGTCAGAACAGTGGTGAGGCCGAGGGAGAGGGGTGATGAGGGGGTTGCAGTGTGAGAGGAGATGGGTGGGGAGGAGGTCTGGGCAGCGGCGATGTCCCCGCGGATTGTGTTATTACTCTCAGCCTATGTACGTGAGTGTAAAGGGTGTCAAGCAGCACAGGCATTTTATTATCAGAAAGGAAGGTGTTATCTGATTTATTAATTTATTATATATTCATTACATTCAGATGTTTAGTACCCATGCCTTTCTACTAAAATAAAGCTGTACGGAGAGCAATATGAAGGATGCCATTGCTGACCTCTCTATTTGAAAATGAAGGCTGCCCAGCTATTATGTCAATCTAATGGCTTCATTACTGAGTTATGAACCTAGAGCCAGAATGGCTACCTAACATTTTTACTTTACTAGTTGCATGCTTGTTCCAGGTCAATGCAAGGCATGTTACAATTTAGTGTATTGTATTATTTTCTTTTCAATGCGCCTCTCAAGTGAGAATGGTAAATCTTCTACATTTTTCATTTTTAGAAAAATGGCATAATTATCTTATTACATCTATTATCTATTATCCTATACAGTGCAAAATGTCACCTGCTACAAATTTCTAAACCTTTCCTTAATCGCAGCTGGAGCTCATAAGTTCCTGGAGGGCTCCAGAATTATGCAACCCATTTTAGGGTTGAGTTATGAGACCTGGGGCTACAAGAAAGCTGTTTCCCACAATAAACATTGCTATAGGCCAGTTCTGCTCCTTTCATATTTCTTAAAACAGTCCCATGCCAGTTTACTAGGTGTAATCCTGGACTCTGAACTCTCCTTTCGGCCCCTAATCACTGTCCAAAGTTTGCCGTCTCAACCTCCACAACATCTCCAAAATACGGCCATTCCTAACCAAAGCCTCTGATTCACTCCCTGGTTAACTCTTATCGATTACTCCAACTCCCTCCTCATTGACTAAACTTTACCTAGGCTATTCACCCTTCAGTCCATCATGAATGCTGCTGCCAGACTCAACCACCTCACCAATGGCTCAGTGTCTGCTATCCCTGTCTGCAAATCCCTCCACTGGCTTCAGCTAACCCAACAAATTAATTTCACATCACTAACAACAACATTACAAAGTTATCCACAACTCTGCCCCCAACTACATCACTACCCTAGTGTAAAAATACCAACCAACATGTTCTCTTTGGTACTCCCAAGACCTCCTGCTCTCTAGCTTCCTTGTCACCTCTTCCCAGGATTTCTCCAGTGCCTTCTTCGTATGGAACTCCCTACCCCAATCTGTCTATCTTCTTCTCTGTCCACCTTTAAGTGATCCCTGAAAACCCTTTTCTTCTTAGTAGCCTGTCCTGCTTCCACCTAAAACTTTCTTCATCAGCTCATCCCCCACAGTTGATACCTTTTCTATCACTCGACCCTCCATTTTAGATTGTAAGCTCTAATGAGCAGGGCCCTCTGATTCCTAATGTACTGAATTGCATTATAACTGTACTGTCTGTTGTAAAGTGCTGCACACACTGTTTGCGCTATATAAATCCTGTATATTATTATTATTATTGATAATAATAATAATAATGTGCGCATGGCTCAGGCAAGCCCACTGAAGGATCACAGGATCCCTTACCCATCATCATAATCTGAACACAGTATTAGAGAGATGTAGAACAGTGCTTTATGGTCACCTTACAGCCAGCCTCTTCAATATTAAACCACTTCCTCTGGTGGCCCCAAGGCACTTCAGTCCTACTCTGCCTAAAGCTATACATACACTTTACAATGAAGTGCACAAGTGGTAATGTTTCATTATAAAAAAGTATTATAACTCAATATGTATTAGCTAAAACATGGTGACAAGCCATTACATGTTAAATCTATATCCGTAAGTGTTATACTTTATGTGAAATAATAGCACTATTCATTTGTTATGACACTGTGACATTTTATGTCTGAGTAGCTATTAGCTAGATATTTTCACAGATAAAAAAAAATAGCTCAATCCATATGTATATGAATACGTCAGTGTCTGCAAGTCAGTGGTTGAGCATACAGCTCTGGCTGCTCACAATGAGCCGTCTCTGAGGAATTACATGCTCTCTCCCAAGACCTCAGATCTAAAATTACATTGTGTGGGAGTACAGTGAACCAAGCAATCCTTGTTCTAACTGTCCTGAGATTGCCACAAACTGCATTATGTTTTGACAACATCAAAGCTAGCAGTCTCCATACCAGTTCTTGTTAGGAAGCAAAAGAACATTTTTTTTCAATCTATTAGGAAAAAATTATTAACTATCTCATATGACATGTTTTTTGAAAATATACAGTAAGCATCACTTACGGCTTTGCAAATTAGATATCACTAAAATGCTGAAGCATTTCAGGACTTCAGAGGTATTCTGAGTGAGCAATAAGAAACTATAACGGTTCGGATCAATATAACTTACATTTTTATAAAGTTTTTTGTTTTACAAACAGTTAATACATGACAAAGGATTCCCAGAGAACAATGAATTTTCCATAGAGAGATCGTAACTGTATATCCTTTCAGGTTGGCCCATCTGTGCAAAACGTTGGACTGAGCTGACTCATTCAGAATGAGCTGCTAATCTCTCTTAGCAGGCTTTTTACAGCACCTTACAGGAAGCTGTAAAGCATATTAAAAGAAACCTAGAGCGCCACCTTACTGGCCTGGTGAAGGAATACATTAATATTAAAATGCAATATTTCACACCTGATTACAGAAGGAAATCATTTTAAAATGGTCAAATGGATTTTAGTCTAAACCATACCAAACAATGACTTACAGTCCCTTTAAGGAAAATTAAGAATCTCTTCAGCTGTCTTGCCAACCAAAATGTAACCTTGTCTGAACATGTTGCCATAACATGATTATACACACTACAATTATATCATTTCTAATATTGAGATATATTGCTTATTAACCAAAAAGTGTTCTCGATTTTACAATTCAACTCTGCTGTTATTAAAATATTTTTTGGAAACAGACATGATATTTACTGCTAACATAAAGTAGAATTCCAGCCTAACACTAACTATACTTAAAAATGTCCATTCCCATCCCCTCCCCTCCCCCCACACCTATCACAAGATGAGGACGGAGGTCCCTGACACATGGTAGCTCGGGCTGCAGGATCCTGTGACCGCACTGGAGCAGACTAAAAAGGGTACTTTTTTTTTTGTGCACATATCAGAAAAGACAGGTAGCAGGAGGGGGGAGGGAACATTTTCAAGACTAGTCAGTGTTAGGATGGAATTCCACTTTAACACTGAAAAACATGTATAGTGTCTGAAATCTATTGTAAGATCTGAAAAAGTAAATAGTGGATGTAACTAGTTTATCTTTTGCAGCCATGCTAGATGATGTGAACTCTTGACTTCTTGCAGTATGAATAAACAGACTTTCAAGCTATGATACAGTATTTCATAGTGTGTTTAGGCAACGGCATGCTGTAAATTCTTCTGTGTGTCACTGGTTTGCTATAGCCTGGTTAAAATAGTACATTGGAGCTGGTAAGGCTATAATAGTACATTGGAGCTGGTAAGGCTATAATAGTACATTGGAGCTGGTAAGGCTATAATAGTACATTGGAGCAGGTAAGGCTATAACAGTACATTAGAGCAGGTAAGGCTATAACAGTACATTAGAGCAGGTAAGGCTATAACAGTACATTAGAGCAGGTAAGGCTATAATAGTACATTAGAGCAGGTAAGGCTATAATAGTACATTAGAGCAGGTAAGGCTATAATAGTACATTAGAGCAGGTAAGGCTATAACAGTACATTAGAGCAGGTAAGGCTATAATAGTACATTAGAGCAGGTAAGGCTATAATAGTACATTAGAGCAGGTAAGGCTATAATAGTACATTAGAGCAGGTAAGGCTATAACAGTACATTGGAGCAGGTAAGGCTATAATAGTACATTAGAGCAGGTAAGGCTATAATAGTACATTAGAGCAGGTAAGGCTATAACAGTACATTGGAGCAGGTAAGGCTATAACAGTACATTGGAGCAGGTAAGGCTATAATAGTACATTAGAGCAGGTAAGGCTATAACAGTACATTAGAGCAGGTAAGGCTATAACAGTACATTAGAGCAGGTAAGGCTATAATAGTACATTAGCGCAGGTAAGGCTATAATAGTACATTAGAGCAGGTAAGGATATAACAGTACATTGGAGCAGGTAAGGCTATAATAGTACATTAGAGCAGGTAAGGCTATAACAGTACATTGGAGCAGGTAAGGCTATAATAGTACATTGGAGCAGGTAAGGCTATAATAGTACATTAGAGCAGGTAAGGCTATAATAGTACATTAGAGCAGGTAAGGCTATAATAGTACATTAGAGCAGGTAAGGCTATAACAGTACATTGGAGCAGGTAAGGCTATAATATTAACAATATTTTTATGTTCTTCAGATCAGCAGATATTTGGTGAATATTTCAAACGTTTTCACCAATTTCATACATCATTGACCAAACATTAAAAAGGAAAGTGCACACTGGCATTTACAATGACAAGCTTTATACCTGATCAAGGCAGTTGCTGCGAAGGTAGCGCATCGCTTGCTGAATACTCTGCGGTAAGGGTTGGCCACTTCTCTGCACATGGACCATCAGTGGTACCCCAAAAACATTCTTATCCTTGTAATCTGGACCCTTCATTCTCTTCATAAACTTTGGTACAGACCTAAAAATTGGCTCATTAATACAATCATGTAGGTAATCCATATTTAACATAAAACTATAAACTTCTTGTTCTTATAGTACACAACTCTCATACATACCAAGTCCAACCATGTTTGTTTGACATGGAGTATTTCTCCATAATGGCTGTCAGACGGAGCAGTGAGAATTTCTGTAGTAGATTGAGCTGCCCCGCAGACTGGTTACTGATTTGAAGTGAAGCCAACGAATGGCTCAGCTGGTGAGAGATCTGGAAACTGTGCCATCGCAGGCGCCTTGAACACAAACATTTCAAAAAAAGTTATGTAACAAAACAATATAACCATGTACTAATACGCAAAATGGATGTACCACTGTCAAACAATACAGCATATGTCTATTGTGGCCATCTGAGATGACCAACCAGATAGAGATCCCTTACTGTAAAAAAATTAAAGATTATAGGCAAAACTATTTCATTCTGCTTCATGACAACTACATGTAATGACTTCAAAAACCATTCTAGTGCAGCAACAGTTTTTCAGCTAGCAGTACTGATTCCTAATTGACTCTGACTGACCACATGCTGTGCTGTTTTCAGACCACTGACCTAAACAATGGCATACAAATTACATAATAGGACTAGGGCAGGGTAATATAGGTACTCCTCATGAGGTTCTAAATATCAGGGAATGACCAATGCACATGTTAAAGAGTTTACCTTGTCCTTGTAAGGGATGCACCCACACCAGAATCTCTTCTTTCTCGTGTTCCTGTTGTATCAGATTCATTAAGGGATGCAGCATCCCGATCCAGATCACTTGGAGTTGTTCTTCCATCAGAAATTGAATTCCCTTCAAAGTCTAGTGCCATTGGGTTTGGCAAATGAAAAGTTGATGTTCCAGATTCCACAACTGATGAGTCATCATCTTGCAGCTCTGGCATTACATCTTTCGACCAGTGATCCACAGATTGCTGGAGTCCATTAATATGTTGCAATACATCATCTAAATGTGGAAAAAGATCATCTTTTTCCAAGTCCATGAGGTCACCAGTGCTGGCATACAAGTGGGAGCCTGGAACATTATCATATACACTAAGCCTGCTGCCTCTTGGACACCGAGAGGGTGCAACTATTGGGTCTTTTACACCAAGTCCCTTTTGCCTGCTTAGAGATAAGTTTCCCCCTCGCCAGTTCACCCCACAAAGATTATCAGAAGGAGAAAGGCTTTCAATTGACAAAGCTTTCGGAAATGTACCAGGTTTATGGTCCTTTGGAATATGAACAACCAGATCCTCTTGTGAATGAAATTCACTCTTATGGCTCTGTCCAGATTTAGCTCGGATCCCAGCCACTGAGAAAAGATCAATATCTTCTAGATACATACCTGATCGCTTGTTTAATTCACGAACCTCTTTTAAATGTAAAGCACTCTCATCGACAGTCCTTGTTTCTGATTTCATATCCACATTTCCAGTTACCTTAAGGTCTGTAGAAGAGTCCAATCCATTACCTATCTGAAGGCAGTTCATGGATTTGAGTGACTCTGGCTCCATTCGCAGGATAGGCTCGCTAATTATTAAACCTCCAGTTTTTGGTGATCCTTTTAATCTACCTTGTGAGCCTTTGCTTCTGAGGGTTCCCATGCATTTCAGAAGATTCTTTGCTTTTGTGTGAGTAGATTTCTCTGTCTTTGCATTCAGTTTACCGTCTGGGATATCCTTTGGCCAGTATGGAGGTAAAAGGTTAACTGAGTTGGAGTCAGGCACACACATGGTGTCACTGCACTCGAATGCCTCTCGAGAAGCACTATTTCCAACATACGAACATCTGCAGTCACTTCCACTGCTACTTCCACTGTGAATAGAACATATTTCGGGCTCACTGAGATCGGTCAGCACACTTTCACTACTTGTTGTGTTTTTCATGTCCCCGGATGACCCAAGAGTTTCCGATCTCCTGAACAGCGTATCGATGTCATCCACCCGAGACCATCGGCGACTGAGTCTTTGAAACGTCCATTTGTCACTGATGGCGCAAAGATCTTCTTCATCTGAATCTTCACTCTAAAATATATGAACAGAATTTGTAAATTCTAATTTGATTTATGCACATAATATTACATTTAGGACTTCAGTCTGGGAAGCAGATAGCAGTTTTACAAGCAGAGAGACATACCAAGTATATAAAAAAGATATACAAGCCATTACAGTTTAGTAAGCATGTTAGAAATTATTATGCATAAAATTACTGCTTAACCACATATGCTAAAATAAGAGCTCCCAACTCTTGAGTTAGGCTCAGGAGCAGACTGCTCAGTTCTTAGAGTGATTATTTTTGTAAAAAAAAAAAAGCGATATCCTTCAGGTCATTTATAGGCATTACAAGATTTTCAGCAGATTCTAATACAGATACTTAAATATTTATTTTCTGAAAACAAAATAAGTGCTAACTGGGACAGTCTGCTAATCAATATTCTCAGCTTTGTCACAAATTATATCCTTTCAGAAGTTTAGCACCTCATGTACAGTGAAGGAAATAGGAATTTGATCCCCTGCTGATTTTGAATGTTTACCCACTCACAAAGAAATGATCAGTCTAAAAATCAAATGGTAGGTGTATTGTAACACAGAGAGACAGAATAGCAACAAAAAATTCAAAAGAAATGCATGTCTAACAAATTATGCACTGATTTGCATGTTCATGAGGGAAATAAGTATTTGATCCCCTATCATTCAGCAGGATTTCTGGCTATCAGGTGTCTTTCATACAGATAACAAGCTGAGATTAGAAGCAGTCTCTTAAAGGGAGTGCTGCTACTCTCATTTTGTTACCTCTATAAAAGACACCTGTCCACAGGAGCAATCAAACAATCAGATTCCAAACTCTCCATCTGGCAAAGACAAAAGAGCTGTCCAAGGATGTCAGGGACAAGATTGTAGACCTACACAAGGCTGGATGGGGCTACAAAACTATCGCCAAGCAGCTTGGTGAGAAGGTGACAACAGTTGGTGCAATCATTCGCAAATGGAAGAAACAAAACAACTGTCAGTCTCCCTAGGTCTGGTGCACCATGCAAGATCTCACCTCGTGGAGTGTCAGTGATCATGAGAACAGTGAGGATTCATCTCAGAACTACACGTGAGGATCTTGTCAATGATCTCCAGGCAGCTGGGACCACAGTCACCAAGAAAACAATTGGTAACACACTACGCCGACAAGGATTGAAATCCTGCAGTGCCCGCAAGGTCCCTCTGCTCAAGAAAGCACATGTCCAGGCCTGTCTGAAGTTTGCCATTGAACATCTGAATGATGCAGAGGAGGATTGGTTGAAAGTGTTGTGGTCAGATAAGACCAAAATCGAGCTCTTTGGCATTAACTCAACTGGCCATGTTTAGAGGAGGAGGAATGCTGCCTATGACCCCAAGAACACTATCCCAACTGTCAAACATGGTGGTGGAAACATTCTGCTTTAGGGGTGTTTTTCTGCTAAGGGGACAGAACAGCTGCACCGCATCAAAGGGACGATGGACGGGCAACGTACCGTCAAATCTTGGGTGAGAACCTTCTTCCCTCAGCCAGGGCATTGAAAATGGGTCGTGGATGGGTATTCCAGCATGACAATGACCCTAAACACACAGCCAAGGCAATAAAGGAGTGGCTCAAGAAGAAGCACATTAAGGTCCTGAAGTGGCCTAGCCAGTCACCAGACCTTAATCTGATTGAAAATCTGTAGAGGGAGCTCAAAGTTCGAGTTGCCAAATGTCAGCCACTAAACCTTAATAACTTGGAGAGGATTTGCCAAGAGGAGTGGGCCACAATCCCTCCTGAGATGTGTGCAAACCTGGTGACCAATTACAGGAAACGTCTGACCTCTGTGATCGCCAACTAGGGATTTGCCACCAAGTACTAAGTCATGTTTTGTGAAGGGGATCAAATACTTATTTCCCTCATGAACATGCAAATCACTGCATCATTTGTTAGACATACATTTCTTTTGAATTTTTTCTTGCTATTCTGTCTCTCAGTGTTACGATACACCTACCATTCGATTTTTAGACTGATCATTTCTTTGTGAGTGGGTAAACATTCAAAATCAGCAGGGGATCAAATACTTATTAACTTCACTGTAGGTGTTCAGAAGGTCTCAATAGCATTACTGTATCACTGCATCCTTTATCCTGACTCTTGGATAGCACAGCCCATTTCAGTGGGGTATGATATGTATAGGAACGTTTATATTTTTAGCGCTGCCTTATAACCTACTTTATTGTCTTACCAAATGTTATACCGTCACTGGCATGTTCTAAAATTCAGATTTTAAAAAGTAACACATTTCTGCCAAGCTTTGTACAAATCAAGCCTTTAATAAACTGAAGTTGTTAATTTCCATAAATAATAATATTATACAGGATTTATATAGCACCAACAATTTGCTCAGCGCTTTACAATATAAAGGGAGACAATACAGCAATGATACAGTTCAATACAAGAGGGTTAGGATGGCCCTGCTCTATATGTCCCAATTATGTTTAATTAGTATATTTCATTGTACCTATTGAATTGACTGTCCACTCCCTGTTATTTCACAGCTCTGGCTGATAGACAGGAAAGGACAGGTACAAAATGAAATTTACGCCTGATCTGTGTGCCTCTGGTAATGCTAATGAATGGTGCTTTTTATTAGGAAACCAATGTTAACCATTTGCTGATCAATTAACAAGATGTGATTAACAGCCACCAAGTTAGGCTCCCAAGTCCTCAAAGATTCCTAGGCTTTAATACTTGCCATCCTTCCAAAAATACTTCAAGCTATCTTTTATCACTTTATTACACAGTATATTATTACAGCAATTTTCTGGCAAGGTTTTTTTTTTTTATTGGATAACTTGAAAATATATGTCAGGTATATAAATAAATAAGATATTTCACACATTTATGGGGATCATGTATTAAACTAAAACAAAGGAGGTAGTTTTTTTCCCTTAAAAATGATTAAATTTTCACAATCAATAAGCTACATTTTCACATCCTATATCTGAGTGGTTGAGTGAGAACAACAATGTTTATACGGAGAAATATACATATTTTACCAATGATCATATGCTAATGTATTTCACTTTGATGATTGGTTGCAGGTGCTGCACAAATGAAAAATTTCCATCAGTCCCGTTCGAAAGAAGCTAATCATTAGATCGACTTCTCTTGACCTCAATTGGCCATAGATGAATGGAAATTTGGTTGGTCCTTGCTGAACTGGATGATTTTTGAACCATCTATGGCCAGCTTTACTGGTAAAGTTGACCCAGCAAAAAATCAAGATCTGACCCCGACCAGGTGGGTATAAACCAATCTAAAGGAAACACTGCTTTTTTTCTTGGACAAAGTGGGGAGAAGTTATTACCTATGTCTCATTTACTTTCTATTCTGACAGATGATTTCTCCCCACTTCTGGTGCCAAGGGGGCAGGAAGTGAAGCAAAATCACTCCAACAGGGGCACACACAGCAATGCAAACATGATGGAGGCTCTAATGATTTCCTACTTTATCCTGATTTTAAAAACATTTTGGTTGGATTTACACTTCTTTTTTAGATATAAATTAAAAATCAGCATATACAATAGTGTCCCTACAGCAACTGGTTTGGCATAGGTGTGCTTTTACTATACTGATTCTAACCTGCACAGCCCTCAGCATCAGGCCACAGTTTCCATAGGAAAAGGCCCATGAAAAAAGAAGAATGTTACAATGTTTTCTATAAGCAAGGAATGCACCCTAGCTGTATTGCCCCAGTGTTTACCCTGTTTAGGCTCCCATTCACAATAGTTTAATTTTTAGTGCGATGGCCATTGTGATACGATGCACAACATATAAAATCACACAATTCATATGGTGCCTATGTGCACCAGTGCAACACAGTGCAGCAAAGGTTCTGAAAACATGTAGGTGTTTTAAAGAGAACTAGTGAGTGAATGGAGAAAGTAAAGCTGCCACTGCCTAGGTAGATTACTACAGGGCTGTCATTGTACTCTATTTTCTGTGGGTGGGTTACTGAACACAGATGTCAATGCTTTTCAGGTGGACTATTTAGAGCCATGTGATTGATCAAAGAGGTGAAGACTGATCCAATGACTTTAAAGCAGCCTTTCTCAACCATGGTGCCCAGGCACCCTGGGGTGCCTTGAGGTTTCTTCATGGGTGCCTTAGCAAAATGTCTAAAAATTGCCCCAAACTGTATATAAGCCAGCGGGTCGAACAAGCCTGCCTTTTAGTTACACAAAGTCACAGGTTTTTATTGTTCACCATTACGACATTCTAGCCGCTGGCGTCCTGACAACCAATGACATCAGTTTATAAGGAGGATGTCAGCTGCATGCACAGCAACCTAGTTTGACTGTCCCCTGCCCCTCTCCATCAGTGCTGGGGTCACATTAGCTCAGTGCTGGAGAAAAACTGAGGGAGAAGAGAAACATTGGAATACTACTCAGTACCAGTGTGCAAAAGTGTATTTGCATTGGAAGAATAAATCACCTCTAATGTTGGGTGTCCTACATGTGTGGATGTTGCTGCGTTATATAAAACTATTAGAATAGTTTTTCACATTTTGCAATGGGGTGCGTCAAGACTGTGCATAATGTCAAAGGGTGCCTCAGGACTGTCCATCATTTTAAAGGGTGCCTTTTAAAGGATGGCACTGTCAGGATTGTTCTGACAATGCACAGTTCGTCATCAGTACATCAAGAGGTTTGTTCAAAGAAATTTTAGTGATCACATACTGTATGAGTGACTTGTCACTTTTTTCCTGAGGAAAGAGTCCTTTAGTGGCTTCAAAAGGTTGCTGAAAAGCAAACCTTAAAATTGCTTTGGACAAGCCACATGGGGTGCTGATGACGAACTACACATTCCCAGACTAAACACAAATGGACACCTGGTGCTATCCATTCAGCTCAGAAACAGGGAAGAGGAGACATGCTGCTGCTGTCTCTGGTAGTAGCTTATCAGTGAACAAACAACAACAGTAAGGTTTACTAACAAGGTTTACCAACTTGTAGATTTGTTTGTCATACTCCCTCCCCAAAATATTCAGCTGAATCTGTCTTTGGGTTGTTTACACATATTAGATCTTCACCCAGTTTTCCAACAATCTTGCTCAGGTCATCTAATATAAAAGATTGTCACCAAACTGCAGGTAAACCCACAGAAAAAAGCAGAGGTTTTGCTTTCCCTAATGTTTTATTAAATGTCTTGTTGTCAAATTTGACTATTCATTTCCCTAGCACAGCCCCCTCCCTGCATGACATAGTCCTTCCAGGAGCAGATCAGGGGGACTACTTGAAACAGATTTTGGATTAAATATTCTTCTCTAGTCCCTGCCATGTGCACATATCAGTTGCAGCATGCAAGAACTTACTGAATATGTCTACTGGCATCTGAACATTTCTCCAATAAACAAATCTTACTGATGGATCCCAAATATATACAATTTATATAAGAGCAGGTTTAGTGATGTTTTACACAAAAGTACTATGATACAGGGAACAAGGCCATCATCACTATATGTTTCATGATACAACATATGTTCATAATATTTTATGTATCAAAGCCAATTCGCTACACTTATATTTCTGTTTACGTGAAGGCTCATTTACAGATGTATTTAATAAACCAGGTAACATTTTTGAAGGCAGAGTAATGATTTTTTTCTACGTTTTGGATAGAACAGTAAGGGCCAATTCATACTATGTGTGGCGACTGGTGGTTTACTGCACTGTAAAAACCCACTGTCACTGAACTATAAGTAAGGCAAAATCTAAAATTTGGAGCCATCACCAGTACAGGAATAAAGGCAAAATCTTTCAATGGGGACACTTGTTTATGTGACAACAGAAGAGGATTTCACTTAAGCCAGCCATACATGGATCCATATTTGGCTGGTTCAGCAGGGACCGGCAGAGATTCGGTCCATGTATGGGCAGGCTTTTTGCCCCTAAGTCGATCCATTGATCAACTTGGGTACAACCAGCCTGTTAAGATTTTTTTGACAGTTGATTATTACCAGCTGCAATAGCCACCAGCAATAACTGTTGTGTTCTGCCCGCCAGGAAGGCGGCATGCTCCCCTCCCTGCCGGCAAAACACAATAACGCTGAGGGAGGCATTCCCCCATCAACACCGACTGTGTTGATAGGGAAATCGAGCGATTTTCTTTCCTTTCACTCGAGATGTAAGGGAAGAAAATTAGTAATCTATGGGCTGCTTTCCTCTCACGTCCTGTCTTAGACCAGGAAATTATTTATTTCAGGTACTTATATAGCGCCGTCAATTTACGCAGCGCTTTACATACATATATTGCACATTCACATCAGTCCCTAACCCTCAAGGGGCGTACAATCTAAAGTCCCTAACTTAACTTACATTCATACATACACGTACTAGGGACAATTTAGACAGGAGCCAATTATCCTACCAGCATGTCTTTGGAGTGTAGGTGGAAACTGGAGTACCCGGAGGAAACCCACGCAGGCACAGGGAGAACATGCAAACTCCAGGCAGGTGGTGGCGTGGTTGGGATTTGAACCAATGACCCTTGTACTGCCAGACATAAGAGCTAACCATTTAGCAACTGTGCTAAATGAAGGAAATTCTCCCCTATGAGAAGCAGACAAAAAAAAACTAACCATTCCCTAATATATACAATTAAAAAAAATGGCTTTAGATATACTGACATCAAAGTAAATTTCAGCAGAATTTAAAGAAGCTGCCTTTTTGCTGTAAGGATAATCAAATGAAAATGAAATTATTAAGTATTTTATTACCTTCTTCCTTTGGAGGCTGACATCGAGTTTCATGGATGCACACTTGTTCAACGTGTTCAGTCGTCTGTAAACAAAGACATAGCCTTGAATTACTACTACCTGACTGATGGAAGACAAGGACCTCTTGCGTTTGCCAACCTTCCAGTCCTTCCAAGCCTGGCCTCCCATATTTTCTTTGGACTTAAAGGAGTATATCCACGTTTCTTTAGTGTGACTTGGCTGGAAAGGCTGCTGACATTTAACCTAGAATCCTTTGTAAATGTTTATCTAGTAACATTATCATCGCTTGGCACTGCTTCAACCTTTCTGAGAGTTATCATGTGTATTCTGAGCTAGCCTTGTATTAATGGAGCCAGTGGGTGGAGCTTTATCTGAAAAGGATCCAATAGGGGCCACTGATCAGGTGTCCAAAAGACTACTCCCTCCAGCCAGAAACATGTGTTCCTGTAAAGTAATGTGTTTACAAATCAAAATGCTAACTTGTAGCCCACCTCCTTTAAGCAGCCCTCTAATTAGATCACAAGTTATTTTGAGTGGTAAAATAATTCCTGTTTAGCTAAGCCTGTCAGTCTTTTTTGTTTCTTCTTAGCATATCTATAGCAGTTATCTGCAGCTACTGAGCCCATTCATTGACAAATTCATACCAGATTGCAAGTGCATGTAAATCATTGCAGCAGTTTAAGATTTCATTTACTTAAATGATTGTGGATTAAGTCTCAAAATCTTTTCTGCTATATAAGATTCATGTAAATTTGCTATATAATTACGTTTGAGTTACCCAGATAAAGTAAAAGGGGGAATGTATAAAAGTTGAACGCATTAACCTCAGTTAAAGAGTAAATGAATCTTTATAAACAGCAAGGAGGTCTTCTGTTCATTGAAGAAGGAATAATCTAATCCTTGTAGGAGCAATTGTTTTGCATATGACATCTAAGGGCTCATGTACACTGCAGCTGATAAACTGACGTTTAGGAGCTGTGCAGCATTTTTTTCAGCAGCCCTAATCTCCCTAATGTTTTCCTATGTGTCCATGTACACATCGTCGTTTACAGGCAGTTGAGTTTATAGTCGTTTTTTTTGAACGCACCAAACTTGCATTCAGGAGTTTCAAATGCCAAACGCAGTTAACCGCGTTTATAAGTATTTGCGTTTAGAAGCGTTTTTTAACTGTTCCATGTCCAGATGCTATCCAGAGCCTTTTTTCATCATCAGAAATGCATGTAAAGTGTTTTCCATGTATTCAAATGGACCCGGTACACCAGTGCAGTCAATTCCAGGTTTTGCGTGATGGAAAAAATGGCAGAACGTGCCGCATTATGCTCATGATGGGATCCATAGTGAATACAACCAGAAAAGAAATTACCTGTCAACATATACTGCTCTCTCTGCTTCTGCTATCTCTATTCCTCTCAAAATGTCTGAAATAGTTAATTCTTTTTACTATTTTTCAGTGTATTCTGGGCATTTTGGAAGGTCTCCTGAGGTTATCTTTTATAAACGCTTCTAAACACAAACGCACATAAACGCGCATAAATGCGGTATGCAAATGCAGCTAAACTGACTTTTTTTAACCTACATTTTCCAGCAGTCATTTTCCATCGTTCAGAAGAGTTTTCCAAATGCCCCGTGTACATGAGCCCTAACATGGTAGATGAGCCTTCTCTGAGTGCAACAAAATGTCTAAAATTCTATATCTCACTGTTGCAGTGATCAGGGACTTGGATGTGACCTATTTATATATGTCCACTCCATCTCCTACTACTAAGCCAGAATCATTCAGCCCTGGTTCACACCGGTGCGACTTGTCATGCGATTTGACAGTTCCAAATTGCATAACAAGTCACACTCTATTGTAGGCAATGGAACCATTCAAATCAAATTTTGAAAGTAGTTCCTGCACTATTTTCGAAGCTTTCAGGTGTGACTTGTATATACATCTGTGTATGAAGGATAGAGCAAGGGAGGGTTATATCCTCTGTCAGATTTTTTTTTCGCGATCTGTGTTCCATTGCAGAGATTTCCCTTCACTTCCTGTTCCATAGCCTAAAAGGAAGTAGGAAGAAATCCCGGAAAATTAAGGGATTTCTTTTGGGACCCCCAGGTCACCAAAACTAGTGTCCCCATTGGAAGATTTCCCCCCTTTTCTGGGGACAACCCAAAATTTGGGATTTTTTTACTTTCACTTTCAATGATAATGGTAAACAGGACAAATAGAGGGGGGTGAATCTTCCTAACGGGGGCACAGATAGCAATAAAAACCTGACAGGGGTTCTAATCCATTTCCACTCTATTCAAAATTAAAAAAATGTTTTGCCTTTAGTTATATGTTAATTGAATGAGCTGAAATTAGGCACATCTGCATCAGATTCGGTGTGCACCAGTTTTAGTAAATCTCCCTTATTATATTCCTTGTTTTATACTTTTCTTTACATTTCTTCAGTTGCTTCCTGGTTGCTGGCCTAGGCCAAACTGATATCATATATCCCAGGAGTCTTCATGGGAAGTTTTTTTTTTTTTCATCTGGAGGACAGGAGGAGGGGCTTTCTCAGCTAAGCACACCCTCCTGCCTGTATGCCTGAGCTAAGGGCAGATGTATTCCAGGAAGTAAATGCTACATGAATCATCTGCCCTTTCTGAAGATGGTCACAGTTAGAAATGCCAGGGTGGGTGTTTTCCAAAATGATTTCTCAACAAAATAAATCTTGGAGACAGGGATGGATGGGGGAATTTTCTGTGAATAATTAAATAGCATTTTCAGCTTGTGGTGCTCAGATACAGTTTAGTTCCACTTTAAGTCATGTTATTGAAGTTCTGGTGGTGTTCTCAGAGTTGTGTTCGTAGAGTACTGGCGTACTGGTAGTCTTCTTGTTGAACTTGAGTACCTATACTAGTAAGCCAGTTCTAGTAACAGCTAACCTTCAGATGGATTAAATATATTCTAATTTTGCAATGTGCCATATTATACTTTTTATTCACCAACATTTTCCTTAGAGAATGTTCACCCAGATGGCCACTGAGCAGTTAGTTCATGGAATATTCATAAGTCTCTAGGCCTTACCCAACCACAGCAGATCTCCTCTGACCACATTTTGGAGGGGGGGGGGGGTCTATTGGCAGGTTTTTTACCCATGAGATACTAATGTTGGGGATGTCTGCTAAGCACTCCCCCTCCTCCTGTATAAGCATCCACATTCCCTCAACGTAAACGTTCAGGTCTAGACCGTCATCCTTGGTAAAAGGATCTTGGATGGATTTAAATCCACAAGCACTCTGCAATCTGTACAGTCATAACAGACCCTAAACAGCAGCACCTGCGTAATCTCTGCACTGACAATGAAGAACCATCCAAAAACATAATTCCTTGTTATGGGATCTCGTCCAGTTGAACTGTACAACTGTACAACATACAACACATGCTCCCAAGCTGATGTTCAACTCTTTTATACAAGAAATGTATAAATCTACATACTACAGGTTTTTATAATGCAAAATGAAGGGAAATTAAAACAGATTGAATGGGAGCTAGAAAACAATGACATATCTGTCAATGAGGGAAGAATTAGTTCAGTCTGTGGTGTTCAAAACAACCAATCAGAATCTTAATTCCATTCTCTCATAGTTGTTTAAAAAAATAAATAGAAGAACATAAAAACCAGGTTGTAATGGGTACCACTGTAAACACCCTAGCAGCCATCTTGAGAGACTAACATATTGTAGTGCTGTCTCAATGCATGTGGGTATGTAATAGTGTGTGGGGGTGGTACACACATATGCATAAATGTTTATCCCTGTGCCACATACATCGAGTGCCATTTAAAACTTTTAAACCCTAAACTGAGGACAAATTCCTTGCATGCGGCACATACTTGGCCAATAAAGTTGATTCTGATTTGGTCAATGATATCAGACAGCTCTTAGTCACTTTGTTGACATTCACCTGGGAGCTGTCAGTTATGACATGGAGCCTGTAGGGATCAGATCATTGTACATAGTCACCAGTTTTTTTATCTTTCAATGGGTCCTGAGGACAATTGTTCATTGTGATTTTGTGATTGAAGATCTTTATTTACATTGTGGGACATGTTTTTCTGGTTTTAACCACTTGCCTACTGGGCACTTATACCCCCTTTGTGCCCAGGCCAATTTTCAGCTTTCAGTGCTGTCGCACTTTGAATGCCAATTGCGCGGTCATGCAACATTGTACCCATATGAAATTTTTATAATTTTTTTCACATAAATAGAGATTTCTTTTGGTGGTATTTAATTGCCACTGGGTGTTTGATTTTTTGCGCTATAAATAAAAAAAGAGCAAAAAATTTGAAAAAAAAAGTTTTTCTTTGCTTCTATTATAAATTTTGCCAAACAGGTAATTTTTCTCCTTCACTGATGTGTGTTGCTGAGGCTGCATTGATAAGCAACACTGATGGGTGCTGATAGGCAGCACTGATGGGCACCAATAGGCTGCACTGATGGGCACTGCTGAGGTGGCACAGATAGGCAGCACTGATGGGCACTGATAGGCTGCACTGATGAGGTGGCACTGATGAGGCAGCACTGGTGGGCAGTGATGAGGAGGCACTGATGAAGCTGCACTGATGGGCGGCACTGGTGGGTGGCACTGCTGGGCACTGATGGGGGGCTCTGATTGATAGCACTGGTGGGCACGGATGGGAGGCACTGCTGGGCACTGGTGAGTGGCACTGTGATCTACTGTGTTATTAGACACAGCTGATCACTTAGTAAAAGGCCACTGTGATTGGCCTTCTACCTCATCACGTGATCAGCTGTTCAGCTATAGCGTGGTTACCAAGTGGTTATTTTTTGAGAATGAGTAACCAGGGGTACCCCTTACTCATTAATGTGGGGGATGGGGGGGTTAAAATGGTTTCCAGATTCCAATAAGTCCCGCTGCCTGCAACCCTCCCTTCCACAACCACTGGGCCAAGGCTGTGGGGAAGAAGCCCTTGTCCTTATCAATATGGGGATAAGGTACTTGGCCAGGGGGGTACCTAGCAAGTTTTCCTCCCCATGTT